CGCTTCATGGCATAGGACCCGGTTACCTCCGAGACCGCCTTCTGCCGCAGATTCCCTCCCACAGACCGGTACGCTCCCACAGAGTGGGTCTCCTCAGGGTGCCGTCGGCCAAGCAATGTTGGCTGGCGACCCCCAGGGGGAGGGCCTTCTCTGTGGGTGCCCCTACCCTCTGGAATGAACTACCCCCCGAGATTCGGATAATTCCGGATCTCCTTACCTTCCGTCGCGCCCTCAAGACATGGCTCTTTCAGCAAGCGGACCTGACCTAGGGAGGATTTTATACTGGGTTTTTTAGGAATTTGGAAGACACAACTTTAAAATTTGGTTTAATTCGGTTTTACAGGGGGGGATTGTATATATGCTTTGGTTTTAAATATGTTGTGCGCCGCCCTGAGTCCCGCAGGGAGAAGGGCGGCATATAAATTAAATTAAATAAATAAAATAAAATATATACTCACCTTGAGGTGTATAATATTCAGATCCAAAGTGGGCAAGGGTTCTTCAAACCCAGCATGAGTACCTTCTTTCTACTCCTTTAAAGAATAGCTGACAGGTAGGGAGAGGGCTCGTATGCTGGATCTGAAGCATGTGTTTTCACTTTGGATCTGATACTGCTTGCTATCAGACTTCGTTAGTCCCTTTTTTCAAATAGATTCTTTTGAATACATCTCCCAATACTTTCTGATGTGTAAGAGCTTTTTTAATAGCCAGAAGAACAACATGCTTGTTTGAAGAGCTCTGTGCAGACGGGACATCAGACTTATTCTGGAGTGACTTCTTATGTGTACAGAGACATGTGGAAGACAATTCTAGATCTGTTGGGGGCAAAGTCTTTTCGAGGGAGACTTAAAAAGCAAGAACATACAAAAATATGTGTGCTATAGAATAATCTTCCCTAATTGATGCCCTCCAGATGTATTGGATTGCAGTTCTCCATCATCCAAGTCCTGATGCTGAGTTGGACAAGAAGACTGTAACAATGGCTTGTATTCTATTAGAATTTACAGTTTTCCTTTTCAGACTAGATAGTTGCTTGTATCCTTACCTTCTGAAAGTGTCAGTGAAAGGGCAAGGCTACATGAAGTAAGTTAGTGTAAGCATGCTGATTTTGGATTGTTGTTAACTATGACTTGAATTGCCTAAACTATTAAGGTTCTTTTCTCCCTGCCAGGGGCACCGATGAGCTTTTGGGAGTGATGGATCAAGTAACAATAATCAACTCAACACTTGGAAAAGCCCTTGGAGGAGCAGCAGGTGCCAGTTTCAGCTAGTGGTGTTAACATAGAGTTTCTAAACCCTGGAAGCCTTGAGGAAAGACAGGACCATTTATTTTCTATTTTAGCTCACTGTTTTATGCTTCGCTTTACATCACAAGCAGTTTTGCAGATCTTCCTGCTCCTTTCATGGAAATAAGTTTGAAGGAGAGCATGGATTTATGGTCTTGTGTTAAAGACACCATCTTTGTCTATTCCAACCTGGTGCTTTCCAGATGTGTTTGATACCAATTGCCATTATTATTTGTCAGGATGGTAGGCTTCATTTTGGGGAAGGCTGTGCAAGACAGAAGTTTGCATAAGAAAAGGCAATTTAAGAGAATAATTGAATTTCAGGTAGCAATTCATGGCTGTCCAGTCATAGTACTGTTTCTGTCCATTTCTTGGTCAGCTATAACTCCTGGGTATGTATCACACCAAACTAATTGATCCACCAACACCACACAAACCTATTTATGGAAGGAAGAAGCATTTTGGATGAGTTTTATCTTCCCATATCCATGTTCCTTCACATTGTTTTTCTCTATTCTAACTATGGAGGGCTCAAACTCTTTTTACTGAACCCTTTTGAAAGGAAAGCCTAGCCAAGCCTCTAAACATATATAACACTCTAAAGTCTACCTCTTGCAATACCTATGACCATTAGATAAATTTGGGTTCGCTGCAGGCCACATTCAGTCATCCAGGCCCATTTTTTAACATTTCTCGAGTCCCTCAACATTGCCCTGATTAAATTTAGCAGCAAACCACCCAATAATATCAACATAATTTTCTTTAGGTTGGGGCTAAATGAGAAGTAACGTGTATTAAGCCACTGATAGGAACAACAGCCTTATTGTAACAGAAAGAAAAACCAGAAATTCAGGCTTCACCCCATCCTATGCTGTCTTTAGCTCTCTGCACCTACAACCCCTAACCAATGAAAAGTATAGTTGCTGACCACAAGGATATTGATTTACCTCTCCTTAAGGAAAACAAAACATTTTGCCTGTGTTTGCCATTCATTTATTCTCCCTGCATCTAATGTGGGTTCCTTTCAAAGTGAAGTAAAGAACTTGGTTGCTCTTTTTGCCCAGTACAGGTAGTCCTTGACTTACAACAGTTCATTTAGTGACTGTGAAAAGTTACAATGGCACTGAAAAAAATGACTTGTGACCATTTTTTACATGACCTTTGTAGCACCCCGATGCTCATGTGTTCAAAATTCAGATGCTTGGCAACTGAATTCATAGTTATGACCATTCATACCAAGGTCATGTGATCATCTTTTGTGACCTTTTAACAAGCAAAATCAATGGGGAAGCCATTGATTCACTTAACAACCGGGTTACTAATTTAACAACTGTGGCAAGAAAGGTGGTAAAATGAAGCAAAACTCACTTCGCAAATGTCTCACTTAACAACAGAAATTTGGGGCTCAGTTGTAGATGTAAGCCGGGGACTACCTATACTGTACTTACTCTTCTTCACAAGAGTATGAATTATCAGGAGGAGCACAGACCACCAGTTAAGATGGCAATCCGTTGGGATCTTCGATCTTCACTGTCTGGACTATAAAAACAGCAAAAAAATACAATTTGTCAGGTCCTTGGAAGACTCACTGGGGATTACTGGTTGGTGAATTACAAGCCTTGGTGCCTGTAATAGAAAAAATACTTTTTCTCTTTGTAGGTGGCTATACAACTGGTCCTAAAGCACTCGTGGATCTTCTGCGGCAACGTTCTCGCCCCTACCTCTTTTCCAACAGCTTGCCTCCTGCGGTTGTGGGCTGTGCCTCCAAAGCTCTGGACCTACTCATGGAGAGCAATGCCATTGCGCAGTCCATGGCTGCCAAGACTTCACAGTAAGGGAAAATATATTGTGCCCTTCACTCTAATCATTTATCTAATAATAGATTGCTCTACAGGGAAAGAGGATTTAGTTTATCTGTCGAACTAGCGTATGGGTTGCTTAACTGTTTGAATAAACCTATATTTGCACTGCATGCTAAATCATAAACCATGGTTAAACCATAAACATAGAATGCCAAGCCAAAACTAAGCAAGTTGTGTAATGTCTTAGCATGATGCAAGAATTGAGAAACATGCTCTAGAGTTTAACAAATCAGCAGTCCTTACTCTGCAAGGCTTCCCTTCAGCAATATGTATTTTAGCAATTGAACCTAGGTGTGTTTTGTGATACAAATGGAAAAAAGAGGCTTACCAGCTTGGGCTGAGAAGTTTATATTTTCATCCTTATTCATCCAGTTCCAATAACTATTTTTCAAATGAGAACTGAGAAATGAACCAAACTCTCTCTGCCCCAGACAAATGTACTCCCACTGAAATACTTATAATTCCATATATAGCTCTGTCTCCTAAAAGATGTATTAAGAATTGCTACACAGTTGAGATTAATCTGATTTCCACAGTTTTTCCTTATAGGAAGGATTGTTTTTCTTCCTGTTGCCTTCTATTTTGATTTGCTTTTTCTATATTCTGATCCCAATCCTTGATGAATGCTCATTTCAGGCAAAGGCAATGAAATACCTTGTAACACTGTGCCAACTAGGTGAGCTAATGAAACTGGCTCAGCTTGTACAAAAGGTAGAACCTCTATCAAAATGTAGTAACATGGTTCTCTTGCTTTAGCCAGCCAGCCTCCAAAATGTTCCATTTCATTTTCTGATATTTCCCCAGCATTCTGTGGATACTGCAGAGTTTTTAATGTAACTGCTTTGGTCAGTTTCATGAGAACCATTTTTTTTTCTGTTCTTCCTTGGGCTCTTTTTAAAGGTGTCACAATGTGCTGAACCTACACATCCAATTCTGATAGCACCAAGTGCTGCTTCTCCTGGTCTTCTTCCTAATGATTTGAGATCAGCAATATGGAATTTGGACTAATTGTGCCTTCATTGCAAATGAGCTTTGAATCCTCTTATGGTTAATATGAGATGAGGAAAGCACTTCAGCCAGTCTTCTGTGTGTGAGGATGGGGGAAGAGAGAGTAGGGGCCATCTGACTCCTTAATGAGTTGTCTATGTGCATACTTCGCCAAACTATTGTAGTTTCTTTGCAATCAATGGCAGCAAGGAGAAGAAGAGAGTTGCTGGAGTCAATTGTTGCCTAACTAAATAATTAAGTATGCTTAGATCTTATTTATTTTCAGAAGAGGAACTTGTCCCCTTATACCACACATATTCTCAGTGGTTCTCACTTTATATAATTATTGGCACCGATCATATGAATTCCTTTAGGAAGTTACTATTCCTAAGGATTGAATTGCTGAGATGCCAGGCATATGCATTTAGCTTAAAATAGATAAAATGTGATTTTCCTCTGACCTGCAGGTTCCGAAGTAAGATGGCAGCAGCTGGATTTACAATTTCAGGCAATAACCATCCTATTTGCCCTGTGATGTTGGGTGATGCCCGGTTAGCTTCAGTGATGGCTGATGATATACTAAAAAGAGGTAAATGTTCTGTAGTAGTAGGAGGCTCATATAATCTGATATGATTGCTTTGCCCTCAGGAATTGGTTTCAGTGCCAATTAAATCATAGGCTTAAAGTTATCACTCTATATCCAGTATCCTTTAAACATTCTGTCATAGATATCATGGGCAGTAATAATCCATAACTTTTAGAGGGCATTTGTAACAGCCTGCTTAAAATATTAGCACTATGAGAAGAAAAAAATCACAACCTTCTGCATTGAAGGCCATCAGAGTTGGAACTAGTGCTTTCCTGTCCCGCTCTCAATTTATTCTTTAACAGAACAGGTAAATGAGGATAACATCTTGGCAATTTTCAATTTCAAGTAGTTGAGCTACAATCATTTGTTCAGTGATGGTTTGAAGTTATTATGGCACTGAATGAAGGGAATTAGGATCAGTCTTCAAAGTCCCAGCCATTGCTGCACCCCCCTCCCCTCCCCCACAGTCATGTGAATAGAAATTGGGCACTTGGTAACCAGCTCGTACTTATGACCAGTTAGAGCAGGGCTGTCCAACTTTGGCAACTTTTAAGACTTGTGGATGTCAACTCCCACAATTCCCTAGCCAGCATTGCCAAGGTTGGACACCCCTGAATCAGAGCATCTCACAATCACATGATCACTGTTACCAGCCTTTTCTGCATGTAAAGTCAATGGGAAGCTGGCAGGGAAGATCACATGTCACTGTGATAAGCATCCCCTCCCCAGCTTTTCTTCCCTCATTCACATACACTGTTCCCTCTTTCCCCCTTAGCGTGCTCCTACTCACTGACACCCTCCTTCCCTAGGCCTTCCTGTTGCACACAGTCATGCACCCACTAACCCCCTTCTTCCCTAGCCATCTTGTGCTTGCATACCAGCACAGCAATGCATCACAGTTTACGACCACATCGCTCAACAATAGCAATCCTGGTCCCACTGGCCACCATAACTCAACATCTGTCTGTAGAAGAAACATCTGAACTAAATTGCTGCTTCTGAGAATTCTACTATTTTTATAAATGAAGCAAAGATTCCTTTTTGGAATTCATAGAATTATGGAACTATCCAACTGAAAGATTATCTCAGGGGTTATCTACTTCAGTGAACTAGATCCAGGAAAACCAATTAAGTCATCCTCAAGAAGGGTCCTTTCTTAAAAGCCTTCTCAGATGGAGAACCCATGACCTTCCTAGGTAGACTGTTCCACTCTTGTACAAATCTTACTGTTAGGTAGTTTTGCTTATGTCTAAGTTAAATCTAGGTAGCTGCAGCTTATATTCATTATTTTTGACCTTAGTATCTATGGAGTGGAAAATAGTTTGTGACCATCTTCCTTGCTGGAATTGGGTATGTCTAGTTTAACGAAGAGAAGGACGAGGGGGGACATGATAGCAGTGTTCCAATATCTCAGGGGCTGCCACAAAGAAGAGGGAGTCAAGCTATTTTCCAAAGCGCCTGAAGGCAGGACAAGAAGCAACGGGTGGAAACTAATCAAGGAGAGAAGCAACCTAGAACTAAGGAGAAATTTCCTGACAGTTAGAACAATTAACCAGTGGAACAACCTGCCTCCAGAAGCTGTGAATGCTCCAACACTGGAAGTTTTTAAGAAGAGACTGGACAGCCATCTGTCCAAAATGGTATAGGGTTTCCTGCCTGAGCAGGGGGTTGAACTAGATGACCTCCAAGGTCCCTTCCAACTTTATTATTATTATGAGTCATGGCAAATATCAACTGAACTTTTAGCAATTTCCAACATCTCTTTTGTCTCATAAATGTGCCATTTTGTGATTTTGAAAGAGATCCTAGAATTATCTCTAAGACATTATATAGTACTTTAGGGCTGCTGATTTGGCATTTGTTTCCACCTTGGTTGATGAGTCATAAAGAGACAGTGAAAGCAGAATTGTGGATTTGTAGATGATAGTCATGTCTGATTTTGAGTACTCTGAAATACCCTTTCGATTTAGCTACTTACTTCTGTTCCTTGTCTTCTCTCTTCTTAAAGCCATCTACTCTTCCAAGAGCATCTCCTTTTTCTGTTCATTCTTCTGCATTCTTTAGAACTTTTCTCCTTCTAATTAGATTAGGAAAGATTCTGGCCTGAAACCCTGGAGGGTCAGTTGAAGCAGAGGATGCCAAGGATGATTCAACCATGGTCTTGCTTTAGAAGCTTCCCAGGACTGGACACACCACACCGTAGCAAATCTGTACACAATGCTTTATTGCAGCACACACCTTCCCATCAACAGGCTATTGTTCTGGGTCCTAAATTCATAGGGCTGGAAGGGACCTTGGAGGTCTTCTAATCCAATCTCTTGTCCAAGGCACAGCTCTACCCTGTTGCCGTTGCCATGTAAATACATCTTTAATACACAGTCCTTTATGCTCAGTCTTTTAATATTCCATTCAAACAAAAGTCTCAAATTTTATAAAATAGCATGCAACCTTTGCCTTTTTCCAAAAATTCTTGTACTTGTTAGGATAATGTGCTGCCTCAGTGTGTTTGTTCCTTTTCTAGTTGCTGTCAAGCTCCCACAAAGCTCCAGGCAGGACTCCCACCAGGATATGCTGCTAACCATAGCTTGTTGAATGATAGTCCTGTTGCCTTCTTGTAATAGCTGCCAACCTCCAGGCATTGCTTCCACCCCTCCCATCTGCATGTCCTTGGCTTATTACTTTTTCTCCTCCACATCCACTCTGTGTTAATGTTTGCTTTTGTAAGCTATGAACCGAGGTGGGATGTGGCTGCCTCTGCAAATCACCCTATACTTGAAAATGCCAGATGTGACTCAATTATTACAGGCAGCTGGAACACCAGGTTGGGTGCTTGTGAGTAGAATTGTGAGTGAATGAATGTATGAGGGAAACGGGAGTGGGAAGCATTTTTACCTAGCTGCAGCTACCCATCCCAAGTGCAGAGAGCAATCCCAACTTCACTCCTTCATATCAACCCACAGCAGAACCAAGGTTGGACTAACAGCAGCACCATTTTTGTCACCCAACAGGCATTTATGTCATCGGCTTCAGCTATCCTGTAGTGCCCAAAGGAAAAGCCCGTATCCGAGTTCAGATCTCAGCTGTTCACAGTGAAGAGGATATTGATCGATGTGTGGAGGCCTTTATTGAAGTGGGACGTAAACATGGAGCCTTGCCTTAAATGGCTGCAGGAAGTGAACTGTGCCTTTCTACAACTGGAACCAAATGGTGCTATTTTGCTGTCAGATAGCCCTTTAGCTTTGCCAGAGATAAGGATTGTGGAAATTATAATTCCAAATCCCACAGTTTGCCTGCTCCTTTTACATGCATTACTTTGCAATAGTTCCAATGTTAATTGAAGGTTTATGTTTTTTTAAGAACTACAGTCCAATGCTATGCTAGAAGATTAATAATGATTGTCTCTCCCATCGTCAAAGGCAACCAGAGACTATAAAACAAGGGAAATGGTTGCATAAAATACTCCATTCTGATTTGGGTCTCATGATGAGGCCCTTGTGGCTCCATTTTACCTCTTTGTTGCAGAACTCAAGTTGGAGGAAGGAGAGGGGAAAATGACTTTTTTCCTTCTCATCCTTGCACAAATTTCTCTTTATGGAAGCAGTTTCTTCAGATTGATCACTAGAGGGCATATTTGTAACTCTGGCCTCAGGGACCCCAAGGCAGCAGAACATAACATACATTGCAGTTGTTTATTGCTTTTCCTTATGAAATTCCATCATTGTGATATATTCATTGCCCTTACAATATCCCAAAATACTAACAAATAATTACTGGTTCTCTGTGTTTTAATAGTCTTCTTTGTATAAAAAAAGAATTAGAATTGGGAAGAGGGGGGTGGGGAATAGGATCTGTTCTAAATGGGGCAAAGGAGCCAGAGTACAAGCATATTTGTAATGGGGTAAAGCCAAATTTGATTTTGCTGCTCTACCATGTACATGAGATTACCATATCTGGCCTGTAAAAATCGGGACAGCACAAAACGGCAGCAAAGAAATATAGTGCACCAGTCTAGTGATTCTATATTTGTGTAGCCTGCATATGAAAGCCGTACTAGTATAATCCATTGTTAAAATTAAGAAAGCGGTCGAATTTGTAAAATCAGACTAGCATAACTATCAGATATAATGTATATCTTTATAAGATATAAAAATATATCTTAAAGCATTGTCATTTTTCTTTTTTAAAAGAGCAGTATTGACTGCTCATTAAATTAGCATAAACCGAACCTTTTTCTGTCTGAGGTGAAAATAATATCTCTGCACATCTCGCGCTACATACAAGGATGGTGGCAACCAGTGAGCTAGTTGTAATGGCTAGAAACATACATTCTGTGCTATCAATGAATTACATGAGGTACCTTTGCGAAACACATGGAAAAATTGGACATATGCACCTTTCCTATTTCTCTCTAATCTCCTGCAATGATGATTCATCTTACTCAAGACATTTTGTAGCGATACCTCTTGGACTGTGTTGTTGTCCTGAGCAACAGCAAACTGAATAGGAAGAGACAAGTATCAAAGTGTTTTTCTTTAATCCTCTTCATTGCAGCTTTCCAGGTTATAGTGTGCTTGCTGAGGGGGAGGACAAGGGTAGAGGAAATGAACACTTTAAAAAGATGACAAAGTAGGATATTCACATACATTTTGCCAATGTTCATAGGATATAATTGCAAAAATAGAATTTGTATGTATTCCTTTGAAGCAGCCTTGACTTCTGGCAACTGACTGACCTACTTCCTGCAGTTTTCTTGATAAAATTTCAGAAATGGTTTGTCTTTGCCTGCTTCCTAGGGCAGAGAGAAACTGACTGGCTCATGGTCACTCAGCTGGCTTGTGCCTAAGGCAGAATTAGAACTAATGGTCTCCTGGTTTCTAGCCTGATGCCTTTAACCTCTATATCAAACTGGCTCCTAGAATGGATTATTAACCTATAAGTAGATTTCATGATAAGAAAAATAACTGTAATAATACGATCTGTTGTGCCTGTTTGTCTTGTTATCTCAATTGCTGTAAAACCTGATCTTCTATGCTCTCCTCTTACCATCTTATGTTATGATAGCCTTTGACTCAACAAGCCTTTAGGCAATTGGCAATTATAAAACAGGAACATCTCTTGAAAGAGCCACTCAGCTTCAGGAATTAGCAATAGACCCAGCAGGAATTCCCATCTCACACTAGACACTAATGCTCTGGAATTTTTTTGTTCTCAAATACTGAGACATTTTTTAGACAAGGAAGGAAGGTCTAAAATAAAATTCTCAAAGAATTTGGAGGCCTTCTGTCTTATGAGCTCAGAACTGTATTGCAGTATTGGATTTCTAATGCATTTGTAAGAAAAGATTTAGGAGGAAATGCATTTTGGCAGATCTGTTGCCTTATGACGTCAATACTGATTCCTGATAAGGTCCTTATTGTCTAATTTGTCATTAAATCAAGCTGAATAAGGAGTTCTTCTGGCTAGGGCTTTTCCTCAAAGCAGTGTTAATGTGTTTTCTTCTGGCAAGGAGATGGCACAAAAATATGCTGGCATACCTCAAATTCTGCCTTTGCAGTGAGGACCCTGATATCATATCCTGGTAGAAAAAACAGCCATCAGTCATTCTTTCAAAGAAATGATACTGTTTGTCTTTACAAGGCAAAAGCCAAGGAATTCCCACCCTGCACAGATCAAACACTGCATAACATCTGTTTAAATTTGATACTACATTGTCCTTGTTTTGAGTCCTGATGTCATGTACATTGAGTAATATCAGACACAGAATAAAATAATATCAGAGCATTTCAGCTTCCCAGGTCGCTGTATTGCAGACCTCAAAGTGACCATCTTAGAAGAACAAGACTTACTCTAAAACAACACTGAGCAAGAGATTGCTAAACTCATATACATCAAAACCTCTCATCACAAAGGATTTTTAACACATTGCAGTTAATTGATAACATACTGGCAATCTCTCTCACGTATAACCTGCATCTTTATAATTGATCTGTCTTCCTTTTGCTTTGCCTCCCAGCTTCATCCTAATTTAAATTCTCCATCAGTATCCGATGAAGGGCTCATAAAACCTTATGCCCTTTGATAGAATTTGTTAGTTGGAAAAGGGCCTATCAGACGCCCCTTCATTTTTTTTTTCTACAGTTAACTAACATGGCTGTCCTATATTTGGTATAATATTGTATGTGTGTTGTGTATGTGTGCAACTATGACCATGTACAAAAGGAAGAGTATCTTTACAAGAGGAGCCTGTTCAAAGACTTTGAACAACACTGCCTCAGTGAATCTATCTTTCTACCGACAAGAACATCCTGGCATTTCTTTTGGCAAAAAATGCAGCTGCTGTTATCTGGCAATTTCCCATACACATTGTTCTCTCTGTAACAAGCCATTCAATCACAATGATTTCTACCTGTACATTAAATTGCATCAAAATATCACCCAGCTTTATAAAATTAGCCAGATAGGTTCCAGACAAGCCAGAGAATGCTCTTTTAAGATGGTGGAAGGTTGGATAATTTAGTAACTTACATATCATTTCAGATACAGTATATGCCATCAATTATGTAACTTTTTTGAAGGTTATGAAATTATTATGTGATATCATCCTATGTAAGTCTAATTAGAATTCTCAGGGAACCACATATAGTACTACGGTTGTATTGCACCTCATTGATTTTATACAACAGCCTATCCCAATTCCCAGATGCATCATTTATGCAATTACATTATTCCCAGACATGGGATATATTTGGAAGGAATACATAGAAAAGAAACCAGGCCAAAGCAGGTTTAGCAAAGCAAGAAACTTCCATTTACTTAAATATTTGGTAGGGATTCATATATATAAAAGTAAACTGAATAGCAGTTCTTTAATTTCAAAGACCTAGATCAAAACCACAGAGCAGAACATAACTTTTTTTTAACTTTAATTAAGCCCACAATGGAAAATGTCAAGGTTTGGGTCCATGTATATTATATATAAGGGTTACTACATTATGTATAATCAAGACTACAATCCTCTATAGTAACATAGTGATAATATGATGAGATTAGTTAACCCAAATTCTAATTATGGCCTTTATTTCTTTATCCCCCTTTATTTTTTCACATTAACCTCATGCATCACCTCCAATTAAAAAAGAAATGCTATTACTAAATTTCCAGAGTTCTAAAATTCTTGATTAAAACATATTTAGTTTCTGCTATTATTTCATCATTGCACATTTGAGAAAGATGCTGGTGTTTCTATTTTGCATTTGGCTAGCATTCCTTGGATATGACAGAGAACTTTAATACCTGGTTTTGTTTTGTTTTTACATAGCTGTGAAGATTCCTCCAGGCACAGGTTTTCAGATGGTTCATGAAGTACTTCTCTCATTTTAATTCCAATTATTGCTCTCTAGATTTGAACCTCACGTCTATGTCATCTTGAGGACCAGCTTTCATCTAATTGAGAAATGACAACAAAATCCTCACAAAGTCCAAATGCTGCAGTATAAAGTTCACTTTATCCGTATCACGAGCAGGCACATTTACATGCAGTTACAACAGGATAAGGAATTTGTCTCCAAACACATTCCTTACGAGATTTTCTAGAATTCAGAGACTGGGTTCCATTTATCCAACAATGCCATGCCAGGAGTTTGATGTTGGTAATTTGGGCTGGCTGGCAAGTCATGCCTGGAGGCCAAGCACATCCAGCTTGCATCAGGTCACAGTATGTATGGCGTATCCAGCGTGGCCAGAAGACGGATCCCATGTCTACCCAGGAAGAAGTTAAAGAACAGGTTGCACTATCCACTAGCCATCGACGTAGATGATAAATGAAGGACTGGCTCAAATTACGAGCGATCCCATCCTCAAAAGGCAGCAATGGCAGCAACTTGGGAAGCTCTAATCTGCTTGTCTCCTGCAGGAGTTTCTTCTTAAATCGGGCTGTATGTTTAGTCAGCTCTCGGTTCTGTGTGCTCAGTTCTTTAGTGCTTGGGTTCCAACCTCGGGGGTCCTCAGGAGACATCCAGAAAGGTTCATAGGAAGATCCCAGAAGTTTCATCAGCTTGGAAGTACGCAAGTGCTTTGGCTTGGGCACAGAGTAGTGGTAGTCCTCAGGAGAGAGGGAGAGGCTGTAAGGCCTTGCTTGAGTCTGCAGCTTACTCCAAGTAAGATGTATGTCAGGATTGGGCTGCTCCAATGCCCTGATGTTATTCGATGGTCGGGGAACCCCACTTAAGGAAAAGCCTCCTTTTTGAGAGACAAAAATTGCTCCAATGTAGTGGAACTCCTGGCTCCATTGCTCCAGAAGCAGCATACAGGCCAACCATGCTTTAACATCCATGTTTCTTCAAAACTTGAATGTGTCTCAATTGCTGCAAGCCAACTCTATGAGGCTTTCTTTCTCTCCACCTCTTTTATTATCCAGCCTTGACCCAGAGTTTAGCAGCTCCCCTCTCCCCTACTTGCAGGCTTTGATAACAAACAGTGCTGTGGCTCCCATTGATATAAACAGAGAGGGGGAAATAGCCCTTGTTTAGCCCATTTGGACATTTTTTTTATTAACCTAGGGTTTTAATAATATGATATCAGCATTAATGGTTCAACAACTCTTAAGTTCAACAATTCTTTTAAAAATGCTAGGCTTGGATTCACCAGCCATTGTCAGATTAAGATTTAGTTCTGGATTTTCAGACTATATCAGCATTCCCCAACTTAATGCCCTCCAGATGGGTCAGATCACAAATCCATCATTCCTGACTATCTCAGATTTTCACTAACTCCCTCCCCCCCGTGGTAACCATCAATTTGGCATGCATGCAAATTATCTCAAATGATTAATTGTAACAGTAAAACAGTTTCTGGATTATTGCATACCAAGATTTTGTTTGATTGCTTGCATTGCATTTGGATAATTTGCATGTTCTGCAGAACAGCTGTGGTTCTGGAATTGGTGAGTTTTTTGGAAACCTGAACATAGACCTTGCAACTATTCAAAAATTTGATTCCATCTCCAGCGATGAGATAAAAAACTGGGAATGGTTCTTTTTATCTCTATGCCTTTACTAGAAATCCTCCAATAAGACAAACATTCAATTGCTTGGCATAATAGATGACACATGCCTCATCTTCTCTGGAAAATTGAAAATACTTCAGTTAAAATCCTATCTGAAATTTCACTCCAGAATTCATTGTAAAGGAACCTGGGACCCATTCTGACATTAGAATTAAGCAGTAGAACATGTTGAGGAATCATGTTTTGTTACATAGATGGTACGTCAGGACAGAGAAAACTCATAATAAACTATATGTTTAGTCAGGAAATAGATCAGTCATAAGAAAAATAGATTATTACATCAGAACAATAACCATGTGGTGCAAAGGGAAGAGATAATTCAAACATATTCTAGCATTAACTCTTGGAAACGGATAGTTTTTAAACTAAAAAGTTCACTATTATACCCAGATGTCAGCTGTCACAACTAGTCTTTATTAACTTGAGTTATTTCCTCATAAGAAGTGCTACATCTTAAAACTCCTATACTGACAAGACATCCTGTTTTACAGCTGGAATATCTTTATGCATCCGAATTTAAACTCGCCTGCATTTTGGGGGCCTGAACAATGTTATTCATATTCTCCAAGGCAGTTACACAGACACAAACACAAAACAGCTGCTTCTAAGGAATTTATACCTCCCCTCTCTCCCAATTCAATATTTTTTTTAAAAAAACCAGGTGTTGTTTTCAAGACACGTGATTGAGAAAACTAAATTAACTCAGATATTCTAAACACTGTTTTTACCATTTTAAATTATATTCAGTGGCTGCTCCATTCAGTTTTTCTGATGGAGTTCATGATAACCTGTATCTCAGCACCACACTATCTAAGTATGCCCAATGTGGTACCTTGTGATGCCAGGTGCTGATGGACATCTTACTTGTTTTTTAATTGTTATTTGTATTTAATACAAGAATAATAAAAGACAAAAAAATCCATTGAAATATAAAATGTTCTCTTTCTAATACAATTCAATTTTAAAACAAATTAAACCTTGATCATGTAAATTACTGTCTTTCCCTTCCACAGATAGTCAGTTCAAAAATTGGGAGGGCACAAATACCAGAATTTTTTCTAAAAGCAAAATAATAATTTGAACAATCCAGTCACAAAAGATATAAAGTTCTTCATAAATACAGACATCTTAACTCTCTTCCTAAAACCTGGTTCATGTTCACATTACTAAGTGAAAATCTGCAGAGTCTCTTAGTCCTGATGCAAGGACAATCCATTAAAGGTTCCAGAAAACTGCCTGGATGCCACTGCCTGTATTTTATCATCCATTTACAGTTGAGTCAACCAAGGATATTCTTAGGTGTGACTGTTTGAAAGGATTTTTTTCTCTCTTATTCCATCTCCAGATGCTGCATGTTGGCCAGGTAGAATGCATTATTGCTCATGGAGGAGATAGACTGAAATTATATATTCTGCATCATTTTGTGGCTCCAACAGGTCCTGCTGGTTCTCTATGGGCCTGCCCTCTTCCTTTTGGCCCCTGACTTGTTCTCTTGCCCCCTCCGTCCTCTTTTCATTGTAAGAAAGACTGGAGCTTCCTTCTGCAGGCTTTGTGTTTTTTTTCCCCCAACAAAACTTTATTAAATATTAAAAACATATAAAATCCAAAGGAGAAAGACAAAAGTTAGAATGAGGAAAGGAGTGAGCAGGGAATAACACAAAATTGGGGGAAGCAGACAAGTGATAGAAAAAGCTATAAAACAGATTGACTCTCAACTTTTTTTCTGTACAGTTATACAAGCATGAAATACAATGATCCTTTGAAGTGGAATAAACCATAGCATTCAGTATTTGTATAGTCATTAGCAGTTCTAGTCATCTAATTCCAAGGTTAAAATTTATTTTCTTTTAGTCAGTGTCAAGCAAAAAGCCCCAAAATGGTTTCCAAGTAAAAACAAGTCTTTTTATATAAAGACTTTTCTTTATTCCAAGCAGTCATTTTCCCCATTTCCGCCAAATCTATTCACAATCCATTCTTCTATTGTTGATATTTGTGAGTCCTTCCATGTCTGCACATAAAGAAGCCTTGCTGCTGTTATCATGTATAAGAACGGAGGGTTATTTTTTTTAATAGGTTGATCAGCAGTTGACTGTCAGGGTTAAAGAGTGTGAAGCCTTGATGTAGACTAGCCTGTCCTTGGCTTAATGTAGGCGAACAGAAGTGTGATTGAAAGGACTCTGCTCTTGTTGGAGCAAAACTACATAATGTGCAAGGAGAGACAGGAACACTTTATTTACAATGCCTACTGCCAAGGCCATGTATCTCCAGATGTACTCATTGCCATGGCAACAAAACATTTGCATTCAGGAAGAAGTTATCTCCCTTTTTTCTCTGTTTAATGTTTAACTATTATTTCCAGGAGAAACTATTCAACATGAAAAAATAATTATAAGTAATATTATGCGGTCCTTTATATAAAGTCCATGAGATAGCCATAGCTCAGTGCAGATGTCCTTCGAAGTCCCCTTTCAAAGTATCAGTTCAATTTCAGTTCAACAGGTTTTCTTTCCTTTTTACCCCATCTGCTTCCTACTGCTTCCTACTAACAGCATCAAGACTCTTCAAATAATCCTGTCTCTTTAGATTAAATTTGCGGTTGCCAAATTCTGCAAACCATCTAAATCAGGGGTGGGGAATAATGGCCCCTTTGCGATCTGTGGACTTTGACTCCCAGAATCTAAATCAGGGGTGGGGAATAATGGCCCCTTTGCGATCTGTGGACTTTGACTCCCAGAATTCCTGAGCCAGAATTCTGGGAGTCAAAGTCCATACGTCATAAGAGGGCCATCATTCCCAGTCCCTGATCTAAATCAATGTTTTCCCCCCCCCCAAAAAAATTGGCAACTTTAAGTTGTGTGGACTAATATCCAGAGTTCCCCAGTAAGCATGCTGCCTAAATCAAAAGTAATTCTTTTTTCTGATTCTCACAAAGTTCTAACTTCAGCAAGATCTATTGGGATGAAGAAGGGCAGTAATAAGTGAACTATTTCCAATTTATCAACAAAATATCTTAATGAGAAATCTTTCTGGTTCTCTTGTTTATAGCATCTGTAAGGCGAGATTAAGACTGAGGAAAGTAGCATTGCAGTGTTGGAATGCAACGCTTTTCTATGTACATCAAAATGTTACACATATGTCCCAAATAGGTGGAGCTTGAGGTGTGCTGCTGTGACATCGCTTAAAAAGCAGCAGGATCTTGAAGATTCCATTAATAAGAAACTGAATCTCTTAATTGATAACAGTAATTTTTATAGCTAGTTGTTTACATAATAGTCACCTAAATCTACCAGTCTGGGAATCAATTCTTATCGATCTTTATGTGGCCAAAATGGCACCATCTACCGAGAGAAGCAGATGGTTATTTTATTTATTTTATTAGATTTATTTGCTGCCCACCTCTTTTCAAAGTGACTCTGGCCAGCCTACAGCATTAAAAGCATTAAAATCATCAAAAATAAATATTTCTAAAAATATCAGCTTGAAGGAGTGAGAGTTATGCATAAATAAATATTTCCAAATAAAGAAACCTCAGCATTATAGAATCATCAAGTCCAACCTCTTGCTTAATTCAAGAATCCAAATTAAAGTTTTCTGGATGAGTGTCTACCTAGTCTCCATTTGAACACACAATTCTGTGTGTAACTGGTTTTAATATACATGGAAGAGGGTAAGAAGCAGTCCAGTGAGAATGAAGTCTGATAGAGGGCAGAGCTTGCAGATTAATTTGGGGGTGAGAGAACAAAAACATGGGCTAAAGAGGAAAAAAAGTAGAGTAAGGTATCCTAAAGAAAATTAATGGCTTCTTACTGGCATCAATAGCTGATAATTGGCTGTCAAGACAATGTTCTTTAGATATTAGCTCATATTTGAATTCTGGATCTTCTATTATATTTTGTATTAATTATGTTTTGCTCATACAAATTTGCAGAAAATGTTACCTACTATAAGTGACATAATTATGACTTATAAAAACATCACAGGTTTTCAAACTCACTAGAGAGTCAAAATGTTTATTTGCTAGCTAGTGCTAGATTTTGCTCAGACTGATTAATATAAATATTAAGGTTAAGGTTATCTGTCTGTGCGATATAATTCAATCTAAAAGCAATAGCTGGCTCACCATTATTTTAAATGACATAACACTAACTAGATCTAAACCCACACCAACAGCTTTATTTTTATTTAATATTGGATAAATATTTAATATTTGCTTAATGTGTTTGTTTTGAAGAATTCTGCTATATGGTTTCATACAAAGTCACTATATA